CAACAACTTCCATAATTCCTGGCAGGGAATAATGGCGGTTATCACCTGAAATCTGCAGACCATTAGATTTAATAATCCTGTTTTAGCTGAAACTTTCAAATAATTCCATGGAGTTACAGTCTCATCTGGTAATATTTTCAGAGATGTTAAGGCTAGTGGCACTAAGGCCAAAAATCCCACACATGGAAAGCTTCTGCTTCCAAGCAAATTGGCTTATATGGTCTTCTGGTGCTAGGCCAATTCACATGGCTACAGAATGACTTTTCCCTGAAATTTCAGTACACAGAAGTTGTTGCAACATAATTACAACTACCTGATAAAATCAGCTTTTAATATGTTTTCCAGAATAGTGGAGTTATCATGCTAACATCTAGACTTTTTCATTGAACTGCAGGGATGGTTTAGAGGAAAATCAGCCAGTCAGAACCTAAAAAAGATTGTGTCAGTTTTGTTGACTGTTCCACAAAAAACTGCTCTAGCAACTGCTCTAGCCTTACTGCATGTAAAGTAACATTGCAAAATGCTTTTTCACTGGCTGAAAAAAGGAAAGGTGGGGGCAAAGTTTAGGATTTCTGAGAAGGAACTAGGGGAAAAAAAGATTGAACCAAACAAATGTAATATTATTCAGTCACAATGAAACAACCATACCAAAGTCTAAACAAAAAAAATCTAGTTCTGACTTAAAATCTCTATGTTTTAAAATATACTCTAACATCCTTAGTCTCCTGATCATTAGAGCTTTTTCATGACTAAAGAAGCATATCTGAAAAATTAGGACCTGAATACATGCTATTAAAGCCAGTAATTGGATTTTTTTTTCAGCATTACTGAAGGAAGCTATAAATATATACTTTAACCATACTCCATGACATCTAAAACCTCTCTAGTTTCAAACTGATAGTAATGGGACATGAATGCCATAGAAAAGCTGACAATTTATAGTGACTAGAAACCTTCACTGGTTTAATTTGTTTTCCATAGGACAATCTGAATTCCTCAATCTTTCTTACTCTTATGGAGATTCTAAACAGTAACCTCTTATTTGCAGCAATGCCCCTGCAGTAAAGCTTACATTTAGGCTGCAAAAATCTAGATAATGAAAAATACTGTACAGAGAAGTAATTTCAAGGAGTTTTGTACCAAATATAGTAAGCCTACATTTGTCCTTTTGCAAAGATCCAAGAGCCCTTTTTAAAGCCATCACACACAGACTCCCAAATACATACCATCTTCCCCTCAAATTTACAAAAGCAAGCCCTTGTCTATTTCATTTAGCAAATATGACAGCTGTCCACCTCCAGGCAATATCATTGAATATATTTATATATGGGGGCAGCAGGAAGTAGGAGGGATGGAACCTTATCCCTAAGCAAATCTCAGAACCCCTTTCTTATTCTCCACCACTCCGATTTCCCTATAATGGCCATGACCCCTAATTTCCACCTCTCTAAACAACTTTTCCGCTTCTCTCCCCACCACCTCTTGAGTTAAATAATAAAAATGTCCGGATTAAGCAAAATAGCCAGAAGAGACACAAATCCCAGGTTGAATGATCTCCACCTTCACACGGGGGATGCCTTCAATTAGCCAGCCTCCCCCGCTGCCTGTGCCATATTTACCCAACTTGTATCCTCCTCCAATGACTGACAGGCCTCTGCCTATCCAAACCGCGGGCATGTCTGGTGGCTGGCAGCCTCGCCCTTACCTTGACATTAGGTCGCCTCCTTCCAGCCTACCTGCTTTCTCTTTTCCGAAGCCCCACTGGGCAGGCGATCGGGCAGCAAGCGTTCCTCCCCGAGGTTCAAGTCTTTTGCCTTCAGTCGACTGAGCCCCCCCACTAAACCCATCATCACACTCAACTCTTCCTCCGCCGGCGCCGCCGAGCACAATCACGAGCCGTTTCCACCCGCCCGAATTCTCCC